TTAAGGCAACAATTCAACAACAACTACATCACTAAGCAAAATTTTTTTAAAATAATACAAACCTTCATCCAATTGTTGTTCTTCGTATCCTCCTCCAAACCTGCTCGTTCCCCCCCGGTTATCAACCGGAAATAAAGGATTCAATTCTCGAGATAAGTATTTACCTACTCCTCCAATACCTAAAACATCATCGATCCAATCATCCCCATCGTCAGCAACTATCAATGGCGCCTTACGGAAACCTTCCATAGTTCAAAATTATATGTTAATAGCCTCATAGACTGGAGTTAGGCATAGCTGAAAACCTTCTCCAATTGTTTCAGTTTTGAATGAACTTGAAAACCGCGAAGAAACGGAGAAATACATATATATATATATATATATATATATATATAAACTGTTTTTTTTGTTTCGAACAATAAGGACAAGGACGGCTTTTTTGTCGCGTGTATTGCACGAGGGGGGTATCCACCAAACTTTCTGTAGACCCGGGTCTACGGAAGAAATTGGAGTTTTTTTATTTTTTGAAAACAAGATATTATATCATCACGGGTACTCCTAACTATTACAAACTTCAACTAGACTGTAGAAGTGCTCGTGCTAATCTATGAGCACCTTCTACTATGTCTCACTCTTCTTCTACAAAAGAACAACACACAAAACTATCAGCTAAAGACCTAATATCATCTTCTAAATGTTGCAGCAAGTACGGTAAGCGAGATTTTCTTTCTAAAAAGTTTGCAACCAATACATTTTCTATTTGCAAAACAAACTCCTGTAACTCCAATTGTATCACAGCTTGCAGACCCAAAAGAGCAGCCTGAGCTTCAGTTTGCAGCGGTGAAGCAGCCGCAAAAACACTACTGCTAAATGTAATATGCGTGTCATTCCTAGCCACTACTTCCCAAGCTCCTTCTCCATTAGAGGTTTCTGATCTAAAGGCCCAATCAACTCGAACAAAAAATTCATTAGATTCATCATGAGAAAGAAACAAATCACATCCCATTGCAGGTGAGGTACACCTTTGCTCCGTTTTCAAAGCACAACTGGCAAAGACTTGGAAGTCTTGGGCAGCTCGCTGCTAAATTTCTACGGGAGGTTAATCTTTATGTTCCCAAACCTTTTCATTCCGACAACACCAGATCGCCCAGAAAATGAAGAAAGACTGTACTATTACCTCATCATCAGGAGCTGTGAAGAGCCATTCTTCCAACCAATCATTAAAACCCACTCTAGGTCCCATATCAAAGTTGAAACCCAGTGGCGAACACAACCAGATTTGCTTCGAAAGCTCACAGTCCAAGAAAAGGTGTTGGATCGTTTCATACCACATCGAGCACAAGTTTTGGATACTGCCACACCTCGTCGGTTCAAAGCTGAGAGTGTTGGTAAGGCATTAGATAATGCCCTCCACAACAACCATTGAATTTTTCTGGGAATTGTAAGCTTTCAGAAATTTTTCCATCCTTGTTCTGATAATTTGAAAGAGTTCGAAGCAGAAAAAGATGCTCGCCATGAATCGCGATGGTTAATTACCTCATAATAATCTGATTTGACAGTATAATTGCCGAAGACTCTCTAGTCCAGATTTCTTCATCTTTTTTCTGAGTTGCATTTGAGGGAATGTAGATGGCTGGGATTTGACGAGCTAAAGTCTCAAAGAACAATACAAGAGATCCCATTGAAAATTTTCCATTGAAAATTTTGATCTAAGAGATCCCTTACCTTAACGGCTGAAGTTCCCATAAATAATGGGTCATCCCTTAAAGGATTTGAGGTCCCTGGAATCCAAACATCCCGCACGAGAATCTGAATACCATTAGCAACCTTCCATTTGATATCCTGCGCCAACAACTCCTTACCCCAAAGGATGCTTCTCCATCCCCAAGTAGTTGTTTTGGTGGGCGTGCACTTCAGAAAGTCATCATTCAGAACATATTTGCCTTTAAAAACTCTTGCAAATAAGGATAATGGATTGGAAATGATTCTCCATGCCATTTTTGCCAGTAGTGCTTGATTAAGCTCACTGGCTTTACGTAGGCCTAACCCACCTCTGAATTTAGACCTGCAAATAGAATCCCTAGCTTTCCAATAGATGCCTCTTCCTTCCTTGTCTCCCTTCAATATAAAACTAGCAATGACAGAGTCAATCTTCTTTGTTAAGTAAACATGAAGTCTAAACACCCCCATCATATAAATAGGCAGCAGAGCCAAAGAATGCTTGGCTAGCGTAACCCTCCCAAGCATAGACAGGGAATCATTTTTCCAAGACTGAACCTTCTTCTTCATTCGATCAATGATGCTGCCAAACAACCGACTCTTCTTTTGGCGAAAGTCCAAGTTCAAGCCCAAGTATTGTCCACTGTACCCACGATTGGCAATTTGCAAGTAATGAGAAAATGCCTCCCTTTCCTTTAGTTTCATGTTCGGGCTGATAGTAATAGATGATTTGTCATAATTAACCTGCTGGCCAGACGAACTTGTGACGCAAAACGGTTGCAAAAGCTTCAACATTCCTTGCCCTATTCTCCATGAAAATAAGGCAATCATCTGCATAAATTAGATGAGAGACCCTTGGAGCTGCTGTTGAAATTTGGATACCAAAATTCTGATTCCTCTTGTCAAGTTTATTAATGGCTGCTGAAAAGGCCTGTTGACACAATATAAAGAGAAATGTGAACAAAGGACAACCCTACCGGAGTCCTCTTTTTGGAGAGAAAAAATCTGATTGCCATCCATTAAAACAAACGACACACATTACTGTAGTCACACTTTGCATGATTAGCTTAATCATCCTCTGTGGAAACCAAACCTCTCCAGAATCTGCTGCAAAAAGGACGTATGCCTTACTCATGTCGAGTTTAATAGTCGCCTGACTCGTCTGCCTTTGTTCTCTTCCTGAGATACTCTAGAACCTCATGAGCCAAAAGGATGTTCTTCTCGATGTATCTACCAGGGACAAATCCATTTTGGTTTTCAGCTATTGATTAACTTAATACTTTGTTGAGCATGTTCACAATAACTTTGTGGAAACTTGTTTGAAACCGATATTATGACGCATAACATTTCATTCTCCTTGAAAATGAATTTATTCACAATCTTAAAAAATGAATGACTCTAACCCCAGTGGAGTTTGGTTTAAGAGGATGAAATATTTCAATAGTTGACGTGAATATTCAAATAAATTTTGTTGTAAAATGGCGTCGTTTTCTATTTCGCATAGATAAATAGTTGTAGCATATGTAAATCAAAGGATTAATATCAAATACACCCTCGAGGTTCGGTTGATTATCTAAAACATCCCCACCTTTTGGAAATATATCATGTTAATCCCTTGACCAGTCGGTCAGCTAGAAAGATGACGTACACTTGCGATGTCAGCAGAAAAAGAAAGTGTCAAGACTCTTTTACCCGTGATTGCAACACCTCAAAATCACAAGATCAAAGTGCCAGGTCCGGCGGTTGGCCGGTGTTTGGACGGAAACTCTAACCCGTGGGTTTTGAAGTTGAGCCAAATTTAATTTATATGTAAACCCAAAACCCAAAAAATTACAATTAAAATGAAGAGAAGAATTAAAAGATTTAACTCAAATCAAACTTTCACATAAAATAATATCCATTTAAATAAATATCGTCAATAACTAGATTTAACAATTTGATGAACTATTTCAATTAAATGGCACGTATCCATCATTGAAAAATCTAGTTACAAGGGTATCTAGAAGCCCATGGAAATTCCAAACCCAGACAGCTTGATAAGTCCGATTTTGAACCCATCGCTTCTCTTGGCTTTGAGATATTGTTTGACATCATCTTAATACCAAGTGATGAAAAGGTTGTGGAATTGAAACAAACTAGCACTGTGTGCTTAAAAAAAAAAAACCTTCAATTCAATAAAAAAAAATTTTAAAAAAAATTGAACACAAACCCATATAAGAGCTTTTTGTATATATATGAAGAAAAAAAAATGATAATTTAGTAGATTTGAAGGTAAAACATCCTCACAGATAAATGCAATTTCATATGAGATTTGGTCATCGTCTCGGTCCCCGCGAAAGCCTCATACATTTCATCCCCGGTGTTTGCAAGGTCGAAAGCTTCCTGAAACTGGAATCTTTCTCTGATTTTTTTAATCTTGAGGATTTGGGAAATTCAACGAAGGTATTGTCTACGAGGGCACTGAAGTTTAAGGATAAAAATTAATTCTCTAAATTGCGGGAAACTGACTCTAGTCGACCCGTTTAGGAAATAAGAATTAGGGTGTTCGAAAGAGAGAGAATTCCTGCTGGCAAGAAAAGAAAAAGGGATTCTATAGTCTCGCCAGATAGGCGGTGAAACTCTTCCAATGGCAGATTTGGCGATGGAAAATTATCTGATGGCGGAGATAAAGAGGCGGCACCGAAATGGGAACGGGATTGGGAGGAATTGATAAAACGGCATAAAAGGAAGGGGAAACCCATTTGTTTTGATAAAAGGTTTGGGGCTAATTTAGTCATTTAATCGCTCTTGCCATTTGACTTTTAAGTTTCACCGGTCAAAGGATGAACTTGATATATTCCTAAAAGGTGAGGATGTTTTAAATAATCGACTAAATCTCGGGGGTGAATATTCATATAAATTTTGTTGTAAAATGGTGTTGTTTTATATTTCGCATAATAAATCGTTGTAGCATATGTAAATCAAACTAGGACTCTTTTGATGACAATAGTTGTAGCATACTGATTTTCAATTTATTCCGATAGGGTAAGTGGCAACTTGCAGTCTATTGTTTCAGAAATCACGAAACATGGGTATGTGACCAATTACAATATAGTAACTACAATATGATGCTGTCCCGGTGCATGATAAATGGATTGTCACGCTGACAACTACTTGTCTTTCAATAAATCGGAGCTAGTCACATATGTGCAACTATCCATTGAAAAAGAAATTCTACATTAACCATATTTACAATAATACCATAAAACCTTCTGTCGAGATTAGTGTCTACTGCCAACAGACTATACATAGAGCTCTTGGGAATCCACCGGAGATGACCAGTACCGTAAGAGAGACTCCACAGTTAACCTCCGCGTTGCACTAAGCATTGAGATGAAAAACCGACAACCATCGATTTTGTACTCTTCCAGTGGATTTCTGTGTCCAAAACTTCGAATATTCACCTGTAAGAAACCACAAGGATCGTTGGTTGATGGAACCCAAATATCCTCAACAACTACAATATGATGCTGTCCCGGTGCATGATAAATGGTAGGTAACAGAACGTACCGCAGAACTAAGCCTATTCATGTTTACCAAATGGTCTCGCCAGAAACAATCTAAAGTCTTGACAATGACAGCCCTCTGTGTATACCAAGAAATGAAAATGAATTCGACGGCATAAACAGTATATTCACTCAAGCAGGAAGCAAGTTATGCTAATCAAACATTACCTCTATTTCCTTAACATACATAGCATCGTAACCGGATTCTTGAATGGCATTCAAATATGAAGCGATTAAGAAATCTCCGAGGTACTTGCGTAGAAGATTGACCGTCATTCGATACTTCCCATCTCTGACAAGTGGAAACAAAAAAAGTCATCTGGTTTCTATATAAAAAACAAACAACTAGAATGGCAGCAAGTACTTTGGAATACAGTAAAACCATAGAAGCACACCTCATTGAATCATCATTGCAAAGAGCGAGCCATCGTTTGAGTGAAGAGCGTTTCCCACGGATACCCCTACAGGAGTTGGGCGGTTTAGGCAAATTTGGAGGGTGAAAATTGCTGATGTTTATTGCTTTCAATTCATGAAGATGAGAAAGTGATCTAATATAAGTTTCTTCAGCAATCCCTGCAAAACAGTCTAAGAAAACCCCAAGTTAGCTTTTGCCGAGTAGAATGTATAATAATATCTCATATCAAAATTGACAGCCATCAAATCCATACCATTCAATACTTCTTTCGCTAGGTCATTGAACTCATTGAACTGCTTACCCAAAGACCAGCTACTTGGATGCTGCAATATTTACAAGCAATGAGAAAATATATGCAAAACAGACACGTTAGCTTGCAACAACTTGCATGTCAAAAGAAACACCACAGGAAGATTTTGTACAACCTTAAAGGGATCAACATTTTTGAAAATCATTTCATCCACTACTGCCTGCATGTACCTGCGGAATGTAGCATGGTTATGGGGTAATGGGAAGCATACTAAAAGCCAGGAAAAAAAAAAGAAAAAGAAAAAGAACAAAAAGCATACTACAAACCAACAACATTAGAGTATCGAATGAAAACGTTCATGCAGCAAATAAAGGTACAATTAGATAGCAAATGACAAAGCTAGCATGACCTAAAACCCTGATGTATGCCATCAAAATAACAAAACAAAATTAAATTACAATATAGCAGCAGCAGGTATCAGAGTTTAAAAAGTTCATGCAGCAACTAAGGAAAAGATTAGATAGCAAAATATGAAACCAGCATGGCTTAAACCCTGATGTAAGCCACCAAATCCCACATGAAATCTAATTACAATATACCAGCAGCAAAGAGAGATATACATCTCCTACTCGAAAACAGAAAACCAGTAACAGTTTCTAACATACAATAAGGGACAGTTGAGTAAGCTTATATCGTTGGTAATTATCCTTTTCAATCATTAGGAACACCCCACAGTGGCTAGAACATGAAAAAGTGAGGCCAGCACGCCAGCTATGTCAAGTGTTCAATGAGATAACTGTGAGAAAGTGAAATGAAGAGGTACTAACTTAAAAATAAGCTGTGAACTATTCTCAGAAGTGCCCGTCAAAATAGATTGCCGAAGATCGTAAACATGCTTTCTTTGCACCTGCAAAGAAGATTATAAGACACGCAGTAGAATCATCAGAAAATAGCCCAAGAAATTAAACTAAGAATTATGGGTGGTTGGAAAGACAATTTTTTGTATGAAGTTGGATAGCATAATTAGTTACATCCACATGTTACCAAGAGAATAAAGTTGCAGACAACAAATGACAAAGTCACATTAATCTTGAAATGTGTACCTCCAGAACTTCATCGAACTCAACAAGGCTCTTTCTTATGCCAAAATAATACTTTTCGGCATTGATTTGTAAGGTCAAAAGCTGAAAATTTAAAACAATCGAATTAGACAGGGAAACCGAGAACAGATTGAGGATGAAGAGCTCAGTTCTCATCTGATGCATTTTACATGGAAAAAAAAGGCCCAAGACAAGATTAGAAATACAATAAAAAGTGATTAATATTGAATTTTACCTGTTTAACAATTGTATCACCTTCAATTGGAAAATCTTCGTCATTATTAATCCTGGATATTAGTCTCACTGCCCATTCGGTGTCAAAGTTGAACTTCTTAAACATCTCATCCTGCAAGCTTTGGAATTAAAGAACGATGATGACTTTCTAATACTCAAATTGCTAGGGAATTTTGAGCAAATACTCTAGTAAAAATTTCACAATTAAGAAGAAAAGAGGTAATGAAATTCATATTAAGAACTTTATTACCATTGATTCCTTACTTTAGAATGGTTATTGTGTTAGGAATGGTAGGCATTTGGCAGAACAGTGAAAGTCATCTTTTTATGTGCACGCGCCCTTAACTCTTTCTCATTATTAGTAAGAATTCTTGTCTTGGTTCCCTAACAAGGATCATTTAGTTCCTGGCTTCTCATACATTGAACCCTATCCACTAGATTGTTTTATTGAGTAATTGTCCTTTCCCCGTATTGATTGGAGTGCGAAAGGCCCACCCCAAAGGTCGTATACTTTTGTTTCTTTTCTGCGGGTATCACCATGTTCTGAAAACTCCCTCAAAAAGAGGAGGGAATAATAGAGCGAACCCATCAGAGAGAACTCCACAAGCTGCCAAGCACGCTCAGGCTCAGCCCTTAACAGACGTACACAAAAAAATAACTTTCACTGTTCTACCAAATGCCTCCCAGTCCTAACACAATAACCATTCCAAAGGAGCATCCCACAGACCCATAAATAGAAAGATTCACTTGGGACATATTAAGATCAACAGCATTTAAATCCATTATTATAGATATGCCTGAAATCTGGGAAATGAATAATCACACAAATATTTTACATCCAATTACCCATTGATTCATGTCATTCAAATGAAACTCAAACTAAATGGCCTATTCCAGTAGTAACAACGTGAACTAGACCTTGATCTTCTGTATTATAAGATTCATGTTGACCATATGTTATGCACTCATACATCCTCGCACCAAATCCTTAGGTAAGTCTAGGCTGTTTTATTAGCCTTCACATTGTTCAGTCAATTCGCCAATCTTTATAAAACTTCATGTTTACACTATACCATGAGAAGCTGTTCACAAGCCATGAAAAGGTTTTAGCTACTTCCATGAACAACTCATTGTCTGAAGTTCTGAACAATTTGAGCCACAAGTATAAGACCTGAACAATTTGGACACAAAAGACTGGCAGTTCCAAAGAAAGGATAAACATACCTTCAGTTTCTAAAATTCCAAAAGTAAAACCAGGGTAACAAGGGATCACATTTCTATCTGAGAAATAATGGAGCAAAATACAAATTCCTAGCTACATAATACGTTCTTAATAATTCCATTGCTGAATGCATTGTCATCTACTCATTTTCCCAAATACAAATGTCATATACTTCATGAGAGAGAAAATCATATATCAACTTAGCTTCTAATCCTAGGAACAAACATATTATCCATCTTAGCTCCCTCCCTACCTCCCAACAACCCCCCCTCCCCCCTTCCTCCCTCCCTCAAAAAGTCAAAACCAGATAATACATTCCAAACCTTTTCAAGTAAGAACATGCAGCATGATACTAATTCGTAACAGATGCCAATTTTAAGAAAAATCCTTTTGACTTCCCGCAATTTTCTTCAATCAACATGATGTAACATGACACTCTTAGCATTAAAAATCATTTGAAACAACTTATGTTTTGAATATTACCTAACCATGAACCGAGTAGAACCGGGGTCCCCTTGTCTTCCGGCTCTGCCGCGAAGCTGTAAGAAAGAATTTACTAACTAATTAAGTACCAGAGGAATGCAAGTATTTCTAATAGAAATTACAACAAAAACATTAATGAACTGAGGCCATCAGGATTTGCAACTACATGAAGAATAATTTCATCTTCAAATCAGTCTCCTAGACTCTTAATTGAAATTAGAAGAAAATTGCAAGTCATTGATGAATCCATCTCAAAGTGTAAATATCCGTTTCAAGTCTCAAACATTCAAAAGAAATACTAAAATGTCACCAGCGATGACTACAGGAAAGAAGTCAAAACACAATTAAATGACGTTCTAACCCAGCACAAAGAAAATGGTGGGAAAAGAAAGCAAACACTCCTGACTGTGGTATGAATTTTCCGCACAAAAACTTGAGATGTTTGAACTTCTTTAATCAAGAATATGATATGATTAAGTTGAGTAAGATATGATGAATGGTAAGTGTAAACTTGAAAATAGATGAACAAAATAACAGAGAATAATAATACACATGCAACCAACCCAACCATGGGGGGGCTCCAAAAAAGTAACATCAAAAATAAAACATTAACCATTTCAAACTAGTTTCACAGAATAATAACCTGGTTATCTATTCTTCTTGACTCATGTAAAGATGTTCCAATAACATGCAGGCCACCAAGACTTTTAACCTCTAATCCTTCAAGCGAACAATGACTTTCACAATCTTCAAGAACTGATAGGTAAGTAAGAGCTATGTATGGGCCAAGAGGATACATCTCAGACTGTTCATCAACAAGCCTTTGCAGTTCTCTTGGGTCCAAAGACTGGCTTATCTCAATAGAATCGGCAATCACAGACTTTGCCTCTTGTAAAGTGGATCTCTTACCCTCACTTTTGCTAACATATTTAGCTGTGCACCCATTTGAAACACAAATTTGAAATTAAATTAAAAAGAAAAGGATGACCCAGAGCAATTTTCATGGGAACAATATCAATTTAGGGATAACAGCAGGCAAAGAATATAAAAAGTAAACTAACCCATCAATGACGTCTTAGCCAATAAAGCAAGTGATGATGGACTAACTTTTATCTTAGACAGGACCTACATCAACGAAATAGAAGTTAGCCCATCAGCCTCTTGACATAATCCATTCGCTGAGCAAAATCAAACCACATAAGTTCATATCTAGGACTAACTAAAGTAGCAATTACCATTTCAGAGCTTGGTTCCCCATCTTTATCTGGAATATCATCTGTCAGGAAAGCTAGCAAGCTATCTTCCAGTATTTCCTTTGCCAGCATCTTAACAAAGAAAAATAGGAAGAATTTTATGTTTAAGGAATAGAAATACCAGACCCGCCCACAGAAAAAATAACTAGTATAAATGACTTTCTTCATTTGGTATCAGTTCAAGCAACAAAATAAACTTTCTTGATCAGATGGCCCAAAAGATTGTCAATTTCCATTAAATAATCAATCAGGAAAAAAATTCCAACCTTTGGATTTCCTCCTAGGATTATGTCAGTACCCCTACCAGCCATGTTTGTAGAAATGGTAATTGCATATTTTCTCCCAGCTTGAGCCACAATCTCAGCTTCTTTAGCAGCATACTGCAAACAAAAGAAACTGATTAAATAATTTTAAACAAGAGAGTAGCTTCAATTGTTGTATATAAATTCCCCAGGCGAGAAAAACCAAAGAAAAAAAGAAATAAGATTTGAGCCATAGTTGATGGGTTACAGAGAAAGGAACAGAAAATGTCGGATGACATTTCTAGGGGTAAATAGGAACACACCTTTGGCCGGGCATTGAGGACATTGTGTGGAATATTCCATTGCTTCAGCAAAGCAGAAAGATATTCAGAATTTTCTACACTGTATTGATGAGTGGTTATAACATAAGATGAGGTCCCTCGATTAAACAATAAGAACCATTGGAAGCCACAGAAAAAACAAATACAAAATTTGTTGCCAAATGAGAATGCAAATAAACTCAAGAATTCATGTCGAATGACCACCAACAATAATAACACAAATCGGATGAGGTGAACATATATCCTAACAAATCCTGCACATTACAGTAGGGCAGAGTAGGTTAAGAATACACCAAGAAATGGAGCTGCTAGGATATTTAAAACTTCATCTTTTACAAGAAAAAAGTTATTTTAGGAACAGTCACGTTGAACCTAATACTAAGAATTGCTAGTGGTACAAATTAACATTGATATAATAGGAACCTTTAGAACTAAAGTAAAATATATACCAAGTGACATGGCTAAAAGCCAATGTGAAAGAACTTTAAGAGTTGATGGTGATATGTGGCTGTTTTCCCATAAATCAGTCTAAAGAATTAACCATCAGATGTGTCATTCAAATTCTGGCTACCCCCATACTAACGAAAGCAATTGAAGCCAAGGAACTATCAACTGAAACAGCAATATAATCACTACGTTAAATCTATGGCTATGCACCAATTCTGGGTTCTTAATGTTATACAGTGAAGAAACCTGGTATGTGGAAGAGGAAGAGGGAAACAGTGACAGAGTTGAAGTTAAAGAATAAACTTGCAAGGAAGGTCTATACATGGAGAGTTTGAACAGTTCATCTAAGTTAGCATCAGAGTTGCATACAAATGAAGTGGTATCATTGCTGACAAACATGAACTGACGTTCGTGGCCTTCAACCTGATCAAAGAATTAACTCTGAACGAAAATTAAAACTCAGCATTGAAGATCATATGGGTACTTAAACGAGCTTTGTTCAACCACTTATATAGTTATACCCTTCTGTCAAAATATGAAATTGTCTACCAGATCTACTACATGAATTTTTTGCTGATTTATGCTCCATTCAGTTTACTTTTTTCCATTAAGGGTTACATTTTCTTAAAGTCATAAAATTTGTTTGGCAACAACTCTGCATTGCAGTTGACGCTAGCACTCAATAGAAATGGAAAATACGGGTAACAGCATAGAGTAAATATGACAAATAAAGGTCAAGCAAATCAATAAGAGAAGCACGGAAATCCAAGTTACCTGGTAGTCCCAACTAAAACCGGACGGCCCAGTCTGAACATATTCTCAACTTCTTGACGAGCATGTTCCCATTTCCCTCGTGCGGTCTGCATTCACTCAATCACAAGAATAATGAAGCAAAAAATCATGAGTCTCTTAAAGAAAAATGGCTATACTAACATCAATTCAGCAGAGTGTTATCTTACAGCAAATGCTTGAGTGGGGAAATCTTGACGGATATTTGGTAAATTTGTTGGCACCTCAATAACTGGAGTTTGAAACATTTTCAAGAATTCTTTCTCCTGCAAAAAAATAAATAAATAAATAAATAATTGAGAAACAAAATGGAAAATCTATGTATACTGGGAAATCCCAAGTGGTACTGGGGAAAAAAAAAACAATCAACCTCAGTTTTTGCAGTTCCCGTCATCCCTGAGAGCTTCGGATATAGCTTAAAGAGAGATTGATACGTAATTTGTGCTACAACAACTGAATCAGCCTGACTAGCATTAAGGAATAGTTAAAATCAGTTACCGTGAACAACGTCTAACAGTATCAAGTGACCGAACAGAAAATTTAGACAACAAGATACCTGAATCTGAAGACCTTCTTTAGCTTCTACGGCCTGATGAATTCCATCAGACCAACGCCTTTTCTCTTCTACTCTTCCTGTCAACTGATGAAAAGGGAAATAGTTAGTTCCATCAGAAGTCAACAACAAACTAGCAAACTGGAAGATGAATTGACATATAAACACAATTATTAGATACATTCAAAAACCTTGCGAAACTTTGAGACAATATCCAGGTAAATTACCCATTTAAAGTACATTAAAGGGATATTATTTCTTTTCCTTGCATATTTATGAGAGATGATGAAACAGTTAAACTAATTTAATAAATTTAAAACACACGTTCTTACAACTTACTCCTTTTTGTAAATAACTTTTAACTCATCTTTTGCACATCTAGGTTTTGTGATTCAATAGACAGTTCGCCACAAGAAGAAATAGTCACCAGTCACAATACCTCATTTATTATAAGAGCCTTTCCATTCCTAACAATGTATTGAACATCCCGCTTGTAGAATTCCTTGGCTTTCAAAGCATTCATCACAAATCTGGAGCATTTCAACGCAACAATACATTAGAATCTCAACGAAGGCAACAAAACAAGGAGGCACAGACATGTGATTAGCAATTGTAAACTTCCTATCTTTATAATTCTTGGACATCATATGGCAGAGCATAGACAAATAAACCATAATATGCAGATTGGACCCTTTGCATAGCCAGTTTCGCATCATCAACACAGGAAACCCAAAGATAAGCTCCCATTTAGCAAGCAATCAACAATGTGTCGAAAGATGATCATCAACAATATAGTGTACCGTACTTCAGTTTTAGACTAGCAACACAGTCCTACAGTCAATGTGGAAGATTAACTTAAGGAATTAAAAATATCAGATCATTATCTTCTAACTTGGAAAAGACACCCATCAGTTTTAAGAAAAAGAATCTCAGAAGTATTAACTACTCCCTGTCCCAGAAAAATAGTCCACAGTGAATATAGTTAAGCGTACTAAAAACAGTACAGTTCACAATTTTCATTCTGGACTATTTTTGCAGGACAGAAGGGGTACTAAAGAAGGCATCCATGCACAGATAGTCATAGACACTCATCTTCAAAAACACATTTCCATCCATGCTCACAAGTTGGGAAGAGAATCTCTTTGCTGTGTTAAGTACTAAAAAGGGAAATATTTGCAGGCTTGCAGCAAACTACCAACTCGTATTCTATAACCTCAATGATTCATCTTAGTTTGTAGTATTAAATCGGGCAGGTAAAATCATATGGTCCTCGAGACAAAGCTATGTTGGTTGCATTTATAAAAATCAGTAAACCCAACATTGGTGCCATATGGAGTGCTGAAGGACTTGGTATTTTCATAGGATCTGACTGTCAAGCACAGTCAATACAACCCTGGTATCTTAAAAAACAAATGTCTGCCTATCACATTCTTTCTAATTAAATCACCTTTGACAAACTTGACTTGACTATCTTAACTACAGAAAGAAAAGCTGAATTGTATTCATAAATCTCATCATTAATTCGACAACTGGATGAGCAAGATCTCTGCAAAAAAACCAAGTTGAAGGTCTATAACGTGTTGAATGCTGCTAGTTAAATTGCAATGAATTTCTTAATTGCCAAGTTGCTATCTAGTGTCCAAATCTTTAAAAAACAAAAAAAAAAGTAAATTAAGAAGAAGCAAGCTTCGTGAATTGCAATGGGGGAGAAAAGATCATTTTTATGCAACACAACTGTGGATAATACAGTGGCATAGTTTGAACAAGGAATGATAGTTTACACCCAACTTCAGGAAAAGGAAAAGATACAAATTTAAAGTGAGAGAGCATCCAATTTAATCGACACGTAAAACACATTAGAAAACCAAAAACCTGGGAGAAACAGCCATTTCTTATCCCAAACTTAATGATTGATATCTAAATCCATAGGTTCTCATATCAACTAGGAAAGAAAAGCTTGGGTAATCAAAGTTGAAAACAGTAAAACAGGAATTGGAAATGTTAACAGTTCCCAATATCGTAAACCCTCCATATTTTATAATCCTACTTGACGCAAGATTTCGTGCAAAACACTGTTTTATCCATACGAAAGGCAGTATATAATTCAGGTCGGACTTGAGCTTGGACATGAGAAACGATCTAATGAGAGAAACCAAGCCTTATGTACAAACAAAATATCCAAATTTCCTCCGAGCTTGATACTCTTAATGCTAAATAGACACAAAAGAATAAAGTTCAAATTTCACCTGGCCCAAGGATCATTCTCATCCCAAAGATCAGTTGTTTCCAGAGCCATCTCAGCAAGCAAAATTCCATCTTCAGTCAGTTCCACCGAATTATCCTTCAGCTCTACTTTGTAATGCTGTTAACATCCAAAGAGCTTGTGAAGCCCGCTAAAATTTATCTCCAGAATTCCATACACATACAACTCAAACACTCACGGCCACTGCAAGAAAGATACTAAGATACTTAGACTCACCAGGCCAGATATAAGAAGTTCAGCCACTTTGGCAGCAACTGGATATCTAGCAGCATCCTTGTTTGCCTGAGATATAGAATCAAAATGATTTACGGAAATATTAGGGTGTGCTAATGAGCTGTATTTTACAAACACATAAAACAACTAAACTGAAGTATATGCAAAACACAAAAACAGTTAGCACATCTAAAATCAGGTGACAGCATGATGTCAGATTACCTCACCACTGATCAACAGAGGATTTCTACCCTCGTCAATTAGAACGGAATCGACTTCATCAACTATTGCAAAATGAAAGGGCTTGGGCCTGATTTTGGAATTTAAACTCAGGTTCTTTACATGGAAAAATTGCAAACGGAAACGGATTTAAAGATGATATGTACCATCTCATCACCAGCTGGTCATTACTGCTGGCAAGATTATCTCGCAGATAATCAAAACCAAGTTCCTGGAATATCAGTCAACACGAGCCAATATCAGAAGAAGAGTGAATGATTACAGAATGGAAACGTTAATTCATAAGAAAACGGTTTGCTACAACCATTTTACATTAAGGAGATAGAAAAAAACAAGCTAACAGCCATGAGAGAAAACATGGAAGAAAAGGCAAGGATGGATTATAACTCACTGAGTTGTTGGTGTATGTTATGTCACACCTGTAGTTTGATCTTCTCTCCTTAGCTTTCATCCCTCTCTGAATGAACCAAATAGCAGAAAATAGTTTGGAGTTGCAAGATTGTACAAAAACAAATTCTGAAAATTTTTGATTAAATTTTTTTCCCTTTTAAAAGCACGTTTAGGCACAATTATCGAGTTATATGCCAAAACTATTCAAAAAATTAAAACAATTTGCAGCTGAACTTCGATGGGAAGAATTCTGATTTCTACCCAAAAATAAGACCCCCACAAGATGAGACACATAACCCTGGTCTGTATCCTGCCAACTTCACATAACCAAAAACTCTACATGAACTGGAAAAAGAAACAGATCAGAACATGGAAACGCTACCACTAAAAAAATTTCCCCCCATGTAGGAGTTAAAGGTGTTAAAGAAGAAAAAGACGTGGAGTTGCATTTGAGAGCAACATCAGCCAAGAAAAATTATACAGAGGAAAATCAAACCAATAATTTTATCAAGTTGCCAACAAAACCAAGTTTCAAAGATTTTTAGGAAGACAAAGTGGATCAATGAAAAAGAACCGACAGGGTAGGAAAATTAGATCAAAAAATTGGAGGACAAAAAAAATTGCCAGGAAAAATAACTGAAGGGAGAATCGGTGATATGAAACGACAAACACTGCTATCGTGCTTGCAACATATCTATTTAGATTTGAAAATATTTAATCATCGAGACCAAGCATCAAATAAGAAACCAGTACAGCATTAACTGAAAGAAATTAGATAATTACTTGAATAAGACCAACAGATAGACCCAGAAAACGATGAACACGTCCCATCCACTCTGCATCACGTTGAGCCAAATAATCATTTACAGTTACCACTGCCAAAAACAATAAAAGAAAATCAGGAAGGACAACAAGGTAATAAACCAACCAAAATGCATAAAAAGGGCTAAAGTTGTCATAGTCTCTTCACAAATACATGCTGAAGATAGTATGAAACTAGCAACATATTGTTGCACAACCCCTTAGAATGACTCCCGTAAAAAAGAGTACAAATCCTGTATTAATAAATCATAACTAGCACTGTTAGAAAAGGTACCATGAACACCCTCGCCTGTAAGTGCATTGAGATAGGCTGCTAATGTGGACACCAAGGTTTTTCCTTCCCCAGTTTTCATTTCAGCTATGGAGCCATCATGAAGGACTGCTCCGCCTATAATCTATCCTTCCAGCAGAAAAAATGCAAATAAACTAACAAACCTATTTCTCAAAGATGTACTGTACACTGAGATTACATAAGTACGGCAACACAAAATTCTGCTTTTGGTAGATGAACACAAAGATACGAAGCATCATTCACCAACACACACAACCAGACAAATATAAAACCACAAGCATGATGCTGCAAAAGCAGAATATACCTGAACATCAAAATGCCGCATTCCAAGCTTTCTTTTTGCAGCTTCACGAACAACAGCAAAAGCCTCTGGTTTAAATTATTTCAAAGATAAAAATTCAAATTACAAAATATCTATGAAAATAAAGCAAGAACAACGATCATAGAACTAAAAAGTGTGAGTATGAAATCCCAAAAACCTATGCATGACTACCAGAAATTAGCTCAAACTTACACAGCAAAACATGAGGTCTACAAATGATTAGTAAAAGATGTTTGTAATCCTGGTAAGCATTGTAACATACAATAGTTCGATATTAATTACTAGGTCTTAAAAATACCAACTTTGACTTTGCAGAAGTTCTTTTTAATTCTGAAAAGAGATTTGACAGGAAACATCAAATATGATCAATGCATAAATCAAGCATTGAATTTTTTAAAACTAAGAAGCTTAATTCAAGAAGTAATACTATTGATACATTACAACACAAAAAATTAAAATCCTGAATTTACCAATGCAACTGAACCTAAGGAAGAAATAGCTTTGATTACCAACATTCCAGACTTAATTCAAAGCCAAAAAAAAAAAAAAAAAAAAAAACATCATATTTGATCAACAATTCAGATGAATACAGAAACAGAAGCATAATATTTGACTCCAAAATACCTGAAACTTAATCCTGTGAAGAAAGAACTTCAGGGAGTTGCATTTGAAAATTTTTTAAACACAAATTACAATGACATCCTAACAAATCAACCAAAGCTGAATAACAAAAACAGCACAACATCAACTCAAATTTCGTATACCTGCTTGGATATCACCAAGAGTCTCTCCTTGATTCAAACGCCTCCGAAACTCCACAGTCTTATGACTTAACTACAACCAAAACCACCAAAAGTTTGAAAAAGAAAGTAAATAAACAAACTCAGACAACTCGTCCGCACCAGACTTAATAAAGAATACCGACCTTTTCATCGGAGAGACGTTGAATTTGAGGCTCGAACTCATTTGCTGAATTCACGAGCCGGTAATAATCACGTACTACCCAATAATTTAAGCTGGAAAAGTCATTCCACGTCTTCTTAATTTCCCCCATCTTTTCCTTAATAATTAAACAACAAGAAGTAAACCTCAATGAATTATTAGCTTAAAAAAAATTGAAAACAACGAAACTAAATACTTGCTTGCAGTACCTTCAGAGAAGCAGCAGAGACGACAGCAGAGGAGGGACGCCGGGTTGAATGATGGAAATAGATAGGCAGTACTGGAAAATGATTGATTTCAGTGTGGAGGAAAATTGCACTGCGCCGGTGACCGCGGTTTTGTTGCCGCCATTGCGTCAGAGGAATGAGAATGCCGGCGGAAGCCACCGTCGCCATTCTCTCAGAAGAGACTTTGTTGTTCAGTTCTGTTTTCCGAGTAGTTGAAAGGTTCGATACTGTATGGCGGGCTTTATGAGGTTTCGCTTTTGACAATTTCGCTTCCGATAATTTAGCAAAAATGGCCCAGCTCTTTATAAATCCAAATTCCAACTTAAATTTTTAAACCCTCATCATTAATTCCTCATCAGTTAGCTCCTATTAACATTTTCAAATAAAAAAGTACGATTTTTTTTAAATAATAAAACTTAGAATGTTAGAAAGAAAGTTGAATATGTATAAATCTCAAATAAACAATTTGCACGATTTGGATGTTTTTGTACCACGATAATAAAAAGCTCATGGTATTAAAGTTTTTATAAGTGATTAGTTTCGAACGGATGACTTTATACAATAATTATAATTTGCTCAATTTCATTAGAGATATTGTCGCATTGCGATATTCTATTGATTTAGCATTTGAATAGACTTTCGATAAAGACATATCATATTAAAAATTACATTGGAAAACTAAATAATTATAAAATAATTATATTGTTGCAATATGAAGTTTGAAATGTACTTTTGAATTGTGATGATGTCCATCTTAAGCACCATCTACTATAAATAGTTGTATTATTTGGATTATAATAAGATTTTGACAAGACATGATGGGCAAAACATCGATTTCTATTATACTAGAAAGTATATAAATAATTTACATTGTTAAAAAAATAATTTAACAAAACGAACAATTAAAATGTATGTACCTATATAATAACAATATTGATTTCAAATTACAAACCACCCTGCAAACCTAGCAATTGGAAGTTACATCCTAAGAAATGCCATAACTGTTGAACATATATCACACTAGTGTACTCAAATTATTGTGTGAAAAATCTTCCAGCGGTTGATTATGCAGTGGGAAAGAACTATTCCTAAGGTCTATGCTCAGAAATTAGAACAATATTTGCATTCGCTGATGTTAAGATGTTCGAAAATGCCCCCAATTAACAGAAGTCCTAAACAGTTTCTGAAGTCGGTAAATCCAAAGAATCAACTATGATGTATGAGAATGAGATCTGCTAAATATGGTATGTTGGGCAAGACAATTACAAACCTTTTGCTACCATGAACAAGTTAAAGAGTACTCCGTTCCGAAATGAATGTACTTAACAAGATGGAGTACTTAAAAAAAGGCTGCTATACTTCTGGTCACACAATTTCAGTAATGCCAGCAATTATATGACCAGAAAATGATATTCAGCATAATTTCTGCTTGTTTGCTGCTTCTCCATGTCTTCTCTTTTAGATGGGAATTGGAGCTTTCTTTATGGCAACCTTCAAAACATTAGGAAGTTGAACTTCAGGCATTGTCTTCCCTGAAATTACAAATTTTTTTTTAACTAATCTGTTGAAAATTTTTGGAGGGTAACTTCGGTTTCAAGTTTCAGTAATGATAAAACATGCTAGCCTTACTAATGATTACTGAGCTATGCATAACCGGAATTTAGAGATTTAAAATCGCAGCAATACGGTATGAAAAGGATGTATTACAAGTAATGAATGAACATAACAAACAAACCTGAAAAATGGGCACCATCAGAGAGTAAGTCTTCCCTGAAGAGCTGATGAAAATAACGGAAGGTTTTCGACGTTTAGTTCCAATCAGGTCATCTCTCTTTAGGTACTTGCAAGCAAACTCTCCTTCTCAATTAACTCCAGAAGCTCCCTTGACCATTTAGTGAGCTTTTGCACAACATTTCGTGTGACTCTCTCCTCAAACTTGGTGCTTTTTAGCCATGTTACTCCAATGTAAACATCATATAAGCACACCCCTCGGGCAAGACCAGAGTTCTCAAGCTGATATCTCAATTGCACCTTGAAGCGAGTTAATGAAAAAACAGCAAACCGATGTCAATTGCTCAGGCTTTAATAGTGGTCAAAACAGATAAAGATACTACAGATGTACCTGCCTTCTGGTAGAAATAATAGAGTGATAGTGGTCATTGAACAGTCGAATCAAGTGATGAATGAAAGTGGTAGAAATAATATACATGCTGTCTTCCAGTAAAAATAATAGAGTACTTACTCGAAAGTAATCGCTGAAGGGTACATCATGAAGGGTCATGGCCTCGTTTATTAACCAACCCCTGCCATCAATAGGAACTTTTTGCTGTGTGCAAGTAACCTCCCCACCAAATACTGAGACTCTACGATCAAATTTGTAATAGATACGTCTCTCAAATACATCAGGTCTTACAGGCTCCCATGGAGTTGTGGTGTAATTCCGACAGCCAGACTTGCTCATAACTTTTTTCTCAAATTCTTCACCATCAAACCTCTGCATCAACAATCTTATCTGTTGCATTGTTCATGAGAAAATCAGAAAATCACTCAACACGAACAATCACTGAATTAATTCATGAAATATTGATGAAACAAAGAACAAAAGGTCACCTAAGCGAAAGAAAATGTAATAACTATCCCCAAGTTCACAAATAACATACTCATATCTCAAAGGCAAAGAAAAAAAAGGCAAAAACCAAACTCATTGCACCGTAAATGCAAATTTCGCTAAGGAAGAAAGAGGGATTTGGATGCCAATGAAAATACAAAGATCAAAATTCCAAGTTTCAGGATTTAACTACTTCCAGTACCTTCATTTGAGAGTAGAACACTTCCCTAACTGCAGACCCATGAACACGAGAGTAAAATAGATATAACCTCACAAGTACTCCTTAATACTTTTACCTCACTGGATCCAGTTCAATGAGAATATTGAAAATTTAGAGACAGAAAATAAAGGCACCACAACATTCTACACGTGGAAAAAAGTAGAGAAAAACTTACATTCAGAGGAACTTCTACAGATAAGACCTTGGACATGTTTGCCTCTTGCACAATCAAAGGCGATCCAGTGTCTTCAAGCAAAGTTGGCTTGTCATCTCTATCCTCCTGCTCCTTGGCAATTTTCTCTCGTTGATTGGGAGTTAATGTTCTCGTTCTCCACAGTGCCTGAACAGTCCTGTAATGACTATGTTAATCTTCCTTAAAACATATAGCTTGCTTTAAAGAAGCACCAAAATAATCAAACACAACACATAAGCAAATTTTAAACCCCATTACCGGCTGGCAGAATTAAAGTTGACAAATGAGTGGAAATAGAAATGCAGCCTTCCTTCCTCGTCCTGATGCTTCGCACCATGTCTAGCATCAATACCACGGCCCTTACTCAAGATTATGACAAGTGAAGGACTTCCTACCGTTCCAAGAGATGGAGGAAGCTCGTGAATATCATCAATATCTTCCCATAAAAAGAAGAATTTGGTCTTGTGACCAAACAAGTTGGCATAAAACCCAACAATTCTTGCTGACAGGAAAAGCCGCCCCTGGAATATGATATGAATTTTAGACAGAAATCTGAATTCTTCCAGAAGATAGAAGAAGCAATGAAAAAGAAACTTAGAGAATGAAGATTCTCCAATAAAGAGAACAAGGGGAAGGAAACATTCTACAGAATGTTAAGAGCAGTTAGGAACTTGTATTTTATGCACTAACACATAGTTCTACTCAGCTTTTCGGTTCACAGTTCTCAGAAGATATCATTTTTTCTCTTCACGTTCAATAACAAGCCTTCTTTGCACTATGTGAGGTCGGCTATGTGGATCATATGTCGCCATCGTGCTCTATCAATACACATATCTTGATTCAAATTTAAATACTTAAAAAGCATTGTTCAATAGTTTCTTTCAAAGTCTTTTTAGGTCTACTCTTTTGGTAATTTCTTTCTTAACACTTGCACAAAATTGGCAAATCGTATCCACATAATCAAAAGAGAAACAAGCGATGATGGGAAAGAAATGGTAGGAATATAAGAAAGCCATACAACTGCCACAATCAAGAAAAGATAACAACAGAAAATCTCAGGAGAGTTTAGCAACTTCCTTAATAATCTTCACAATCGACAAAATAACAAGCGCTGATACAAAATGTTAGGTCACATGTTCATTCATAAACACTATCCCTATCCTAAAATTGACATCATTTTTAAGTTCCAAAGCTTACATCATACATATTGCAAAGCATCAGGAAGTCCAACCATAGATTAACCAGCAGCAAAAAAGCTTACTACATAGCACCCACACCAGAAATTCAAAGGCAAAGCTTAGAAGAAGACTTTATGCTATGCACAGAAACTTTGTCAAGAATTGAAAGGAAACAAATACCAAACCTGCAATGGCATCTTTCTCTTAAGGGAGCATGAAAAATCATTGATTAGGAATTCTTCTGGTGGCAATCCAAATATCTTTTGGAAAGCTGAATTTCTGTGCGGCGATCGAAGGTTCAACTGCCAAGCCCGATTCACAGAATTAATAATCCGTAATTAGAACTCCTACTAGAAGAAGTACATTAGGAGATAGATATAGATACCTTTTTTCCTACTTCTTTTTCCATCTTGCTTAAGTAGTCCCTAATTGTTTCAACTCCGTTGTTGTTGTCCAGGAAAACCCTCAAATGCAACTTTGACTGAAATGACTGAGCAAGTTTACCCTGAAGGGGAACCCAAAGGTCTGCTAATTCTGTGGAGGTGTGTCTCAGAAAATTGATTTCAGCATGGCCAAGAGAAGTGGCTTCATCAAACGGACCATCGAAGTCGAAAACCTCCACATCGAGCACTGAAGGTGGTTCCTCTGCGGCATCAAACTCCAAAACTTCTGCAAATACCATTGCAAACAAGATGTTAGGCTCTCAATATATTTATTTTTGGACACAACAAGGAACGGGAAATGAATTACATACCATTCCATTGAGGGTCAAGAGTTTGCAGCTTTACAGAGCTTGTCCTTGTTTTACCATTACATGTGAAAACAACATAGGGATCTGGTAAGTCAGCTGAATCTAAAGAAGCTAAGTTTACACCCTCCATCAAAGCGACGGTAACTACCCAGCCATCGCTTTGTTCCTTGACTTCATGAGTTCTTCCTGTTAACAAGGGATTTTCTAATTCAATCAAGCAGAGCATGATACATAATTAGAGATTATGAAAAAACCCATTACCTGTCATTAGCCTTGCTTGTACAAAATGTGACACCGTCTGGTAAACACGTTGCAGTTGGATTACTAAAATTGCAGAAGTTATTATTTCCCCAATACTATCAGGCAAATCAAGACCATAAAATTCTAAGCCTTGGATCTCCTTTTCTCCACAAATCCAGATATGAAAACCAACATATACAACCATAAACAATAATGAGACCACTGGGAAGTTAAAGAAGTAAACAATTGCTGATTTCCAATCTGACTGGTGCTCTGCCAGCAAAGTTGCAACTGTGTGTTCCTTATCTAGAATATTTTCAGAGTTTATCACTCTAAGATTCTTGGCAAGCAAGTTAGAAAACTGATCAAAGCTCTCCCTCAAGCCTTGTTTAACCCCTCCTTCGATCATGCCCCTCATCATAGTACTCTGGTGGAAGTTAACAGTCCAAGATACCTCAAGTCGGGCAGATTCTTCACCAGGTGATAGCTCCTGCATAGGTGTTATCTTGTAAAGTAGATTAACCTTGAACGTGTTTCCATATGGAACATCGGGAGTACAAACATCCACAAAGACAAAAAATTCTTTCCCATTAGCCCTCACATAAGTTTGCTCCTCTGTAGCTTTAACAGCCTTGACTAACTTTGTTGCTGCTTTAGTATAGGTAACAACTCGTGTAACACATGATTTATCGGCTGATTTCCATCTCCAAGGGCCCTCTTGAATATCTGTTGTTCCTTGCATCTCCATCAGATCTCTCATGAACTGGGACTTCGGAGCAAAGATAAGTGTGTTCAGATCTTTAGATGATACTGCATATGTCTGATCCAAAAGAATGCCTCCCTCCAGATTTTCAGGCATGTCTTTCTCATCATTCTTTGACTTCATCATTTCCAAGAGCTCTTCAAAGCTACTGTTACTGGCAACCTCTTCCACATGATCTTCATTGTCAGATAAACTAGTCGAGACCTCAGAAGAAACCTCAGTCCCAGATACTTCGTCATACTTATTCAAAAGCCTCTCAAAGCGACCAGCAATAGCCTTCATCAAATGTTTCCCTTCTAACGTCTTTTTTGTGGTGGGCGTGCAACCCAAAACGTCTTCAGAAGAAACACTTTGATCTGTGAATTCATTAGTATCTTCTTCATCATAGGGATGTACAAACAAAAGATGGCCAGTGGGTATTTCCTCCCCTCTCCCATGCAGAGACAGAGAAAGAAGAATTTTGCCTGAATTGACAAAAGGATGTAACATGTACTTTGCAACATAACTGGAATCATACTCTTTAAAGTATCTTCTTAAAGTTCAGAATTCATTCAACTATGGCTCTTCACAGAACACAATTTAAAAACATTTTATCACAAGTATTTTCACAGTCAAGCACAAAACTGTTTACAAGTAATTAGGAAAACAACAACAAATTCACTAAAGCTGCTTTAATGGTATCAATAATTTCCAATAATAATGCATACTTGTGTCAAGTGTTTATCAAAATTGCGAGAAAGAAAAGGGATCTTAACCCGTCTTGGAATGCTTAAGAACTGTTTTCTTATTCCATTATCACATACAATGACTGTGTCACTGCCTGACTATCTTTAATTACAACTGTTAAGCGGCAACAGAGCAACTAATACAGAAAAATTAAGACAGTCACATTAGGCAAAACAGATTCACTAGTCCAATTTCAATAGTTCACGCAAGAAAAAATACACATGCTAGAATAATACATTAAACAATTTCTTATTTTTATTTCCATAAGTTCCTGATGTAGCATTTACAACTGTCTAACGTTCTGTAAGATACTTAGTATCACCCTTCTAATAACTTATCACTAAACAACAATAGAAGAAAGTAACTACTGCCATGAATTTGATTACTTTGGACGAACGGTGACACGAATTCCCAATACCAATTGCTTGAAATTGCTTTTAACACATTCAGCACAAAAGCTAGTAGTTCCCCTGCAGATTGACTAAAAACCTTGCAATCAAAATTGATCAACAACATTCAAATGCAACCTACAACATACAAATTAATGACTAGAAAAACTGATACTGGGAGCAACGCATTTTCTTCATATCTGACTGGTAAGAACTTCACAGCATCTTTCCGATAAAACTGATCGACATTTTAGCAATTTTTATCATACAACTCCAAATGCTACCACTGACCTATTAAAAAACATACACCAAAAAACAACACAAATTACCAAAGACGGAACTGAAAAGAAGAGCTCATACCGCAATCCTTATGAGTCGATCTCAAGCTCCTGTGTTTTCCTAGAGAAAACCAAGTGGGAGGCAAAATCTGATTCTCCTCAGCAACAACAGTCGAAATTGGAATGTGAACCCGACCCACAAAATCTCCAGACACATTAAAGAAACCCGAATCCTCATTAAAATGATACACTGACAGAACAAGCTCATCCTCTGCTAAATCATGAACCCTGAACACAAACTCCTCATTCCAAACAGGGTTATTCGTGTTCCTCAACACCCTTGTCTTAGCCTTAGACTTGCCAACTTTTAACTTCACATACGAGTCTTTCACCGGCCATTCTCTTCCCTCCAACAAATACACAAAAACTCTCATTTTAATTTCAATTAATACGTGATTATGACTTTATGGTATGTTGTACACTCCCAGTGAACAAAATTAGAGTAAAACTCAAAAAGGGTTCATGAAACAGCAATCGAATTATCCTATATTCCGATTATTAGCACAAATTTGAATATAAACCCATGATGTTGCTGTAGTTCCTGAGAGGTTGTTGGTAGCTTTTGTATTGGGCTTTTAAAAGTTCAAACGGTTTTAAGGCAAAAAGGAAACGTGGGATTGCGCAGGAAGTGACACGAGGAAATGGGGGGTAAAAAGAGTGGGATTTAGTGGAACAAATGATGGGATAAATTTTTGGGCATTATTTATTGAAGGTGGAAGGGCGGTTGGTTTTTGATGTTTCAAACTTCAACAAAGAGAGTTTTGCGCGTCAAGGCAACAACAAAAAGAATGGATTTTTTCAGTGGGTTTTCTTTCTTTCTTTCTTCGAAGTGGTCATATGATGTTCTTTCCAATTTCTGGGAGTTTCGGATAATGCTGTCAGAGTGGTTGAAGACGGAAGCAAATATTTCAGCAAAGTTGGAAATTTCGGGCTTCATTTGTTCGGTGGGTTTTTGACTCATTAAATTTGATCCTAAAAATAGAAAAGCTCAAATGCACTTTCCTACTAAGGTATAGAGATTGGATAACTGTCACCTTTAGTCAAATCTTTTGCCTTCACGTCAGATCCTCATATCAGGCCATATAAATATATTTGATGTGTATCACTAAAATAGGTTATGTCTCTTTTGAGGAATTTGTCGAAGTTGTTTGAATTCTCTACACTTTCAGCGATCTGACCAACAAAATAGTAATAATATACTGATATTAGATAGAAATAATTGATTTTCGAAGCGCCCGATCAAGGGAAGAATGTGTAGAATTTTCTTTGTTATTATATTTAACGTTTCTCAAAAATTTCACTTGTAACAACGTCACTTTATTGTCCATGGCATGGAGTATATACCGAAAGAATATTATTAGTCGCATTTGCCTATATGACCTTCATTGTTTGGAGTGATCTTTGTTTGTACGAAATCTTGCTTCGATTCCTTAGGGCTAGGGGCAAATGAGTCCTTGTGAGCATTTCCAAAACAATTAAAAAAATAAATAAAATTCACAGTTGGTGTTCTTATAAGAATTCACTCTTAAAAAAAAATCGTTTTCTTGTTGGTAAATTTTTTTTTAAGATAAAAGGAATAATAATATCTATTCTTCTGTCTAAAAAAAAATAAATCATATTCTTTCATACAAATTTGAAAACTCAATATAAAATATTGTATTGAGACAGAAATTGTAGTAGTTATCATTTTGGTCTCAACTTGACTTTAGTCGATCGTAACATTTACTATTAAAGAGATTATGCAATACACATACACACATACATGGTGGTGGTGGTGGCGTGGTGCTTGTTTTAGTTGGTTTATGAGCGAGAGCGAGAGGGAGGAAGGGACAATGTCCCCAAATGAGAGGGGGGATTCCATATCATAATACACTCTTACTTATTCATGGTTAAAACTTAAAATATCCAGGACAATTTTCTTTGTCAACTAACGGCAGCTGTACATGTAAGTATGGTAGGAAGACAATTCGCGTTTTAAAAATAAAAATAGACAAGAAACGAAAGAAGATAAGTTGAATACTAGAGTACGTTTATGTATTTTCCTTAATCAGATGATTATAATGAAATTTTATATTTATAAATTGATTGAGCAAATTAAACTATACAGATAAAAGATGAATGTGTCTAATTCTAACTAATATTTCTTATAAGAACCAGTATTCTGATGAATATGATTTTGTCAATAATGATCAATCAAAGTCACCTTAGAATACATCATTATCACTCCATTTCTTGAGAAGTAGAATTAGAATGGGTACGTGAGAAATTATCTTTAATATGCACGTTAGAGCACAAAATACATATCCTACTATATAATATACGAAAACCCCCATTTCAAACACCTCCTACAACTGCCACATGGCATGTAATAATTACTAAATTAGGTCTACCAATGTCTGAGTCATCTCCATAATCCTTCAGCTTGAAATCACTTTCCATATTCAGTTTTCAAGCCTATCAATCGGTTGTGGCTTTCAAGTGCAGCCTCCAAAGTGGATTCAGTAAGCAAACGGTCAGCTGAATTCAAGAAAAATTCCAATCAAAACTTCATCTCAGCAAAACATATCAAGGCAAAGAATAGCAAGAAAATAGAAGGGAGCAAGAGCATCCAGAGGGAAGGAAGAACCAACAAAAAGCAAAATAAATTTGAGGTAATGAAACGAATCCCAGATGAAAAAAAGTGATCTTTGGCAACAACAGACGAGAACCAACAAGAGAAAGTATCGGATTTAAGATAATATACAGAGAAAGGAAAACAGAGAAAGAAAAGGGGGTTACTTACAAGATGGGGATCGGATCATCTTCAACCTAAGAAAGCTTTCTCCCTTTTCAATTGGGTTTTTTCCTCTCCAAATACTCAGAGGAAGAATATTTGTTTTTGGTCCTTTTGGAATGAAGCAAGAGATTGAGTGTGGTCTTTGTCAGCCGAATTCAAGAAAAATTCCAATCAAAACTTCATCTCAGCAAAACATATCAAGGCAAAGAATAGCAAGAAAATAGAAGGAAGCAAGAGCATCCAGAGGGAAGGAAGAACCAACAAAAAGCAAAATAAATTTGAGGTAATGAAACGAACCCCAGATGAAAAAAAGTGATCTTTGGCAACAACAGACGAGAACCAACAAGAGAAAGTATCGGATTTAAGATAATATACAGAGAAAGGAAAGCAGAGAAAGAAAAGGGAGTTACTTACAAGATGGGGATCGGATCATCTTCAACCTAAGAAAGCTTTCTCCCTTTTCAATTGGGTTTTTTCCTCCCCAAATACTCAGAGGAAGAATATTTGTTTTTGGTCCTTTTGGAATGAAGCAAGAGATTGAGTGTGGTCTTTGTCATCATATTCAAGGATCTACTAATTCCCCGTATTGGGTTTCCACAAATACACATCCAAAAGAAAAAAAAACATATATATAAAGGTTTCAAAAGCTCAAGAAACTGTACACTTCCTCAATTCAAAAATCTCAACTAAATAAAGAAAATATAGTTTAACCCAAAAAAAAAGGTCCCCAAGAATAGAATAATGGTGGAACTGTGGGAAGTGGGGTAAGCCTCAAAACTGATTATGGAGTGATTTCTAACACTCAAAAAATAATCTATCTTTACTTAAGCGAATATTTTTTTATTTACATATTAGTGATGATCAATCTTTCCCCATCATATTTTTTACACATTATTAGCATGTTCAATCTTTTCATTAGTGATGATCAATCCTAATCGGATAAAATTTTGGTTTCAAAAAAATTTTCTCTTTACTTCTCTATATAAACACAAAGGGAAAAAATAATAATTTCTCTTTGATCTTACTTCAGCCATTGCGGTGGTACCATTATAGGTATTAAAATTTAAATACTTTTATTTCCACAGGTTATTTGTTTGACTTTTATTATTTTTTTGTTTTTCACGTTCAAGAATAATGTTATTATTATTATTTTTATGCGTCCATCCATTACAGCTACCGTAGCCATTGCAAGGTAATATGATGGAATTTCTTATATGGTTAATTAGTTACCCTAGAATTTTTGTATGATTTTTGTTCTGTTTGGATTGAATTGATCAATTGGGTTTTTGTTACAAAGTGTGATTTTTTTTTAATTTCTTTTTTATGTTTCATTCAATTAGAGTGGTATTCTTTTTTTAATTATGGAGTCTCAATTGAATTGATCAATTAGGTTTTTGTTACAAAGTGTAATTTTTTTTAAGTGTATACGCTTCGAAGGAAGCTTATTACAAAGTTATTATAAATCTCCAAAACTAAGTATTGATTTGGCATGACCGATGTAGAACATCAATAAATCATCTTACTAATATTTAAACTTATTAGGATGCTTTTATATTTTGTCAAACATTTACTTCAAGACATATATTCGATCAAGTTTATTTATATTTAATAAGCAACACTTATAAAACATTTCTAAAACATACCGGACCAAATACAATTTCTTTTTTTCGCTAAATACAAATATTTCTATGATCACATTTATAAAATATTTCTAAATTCTTGAAACATTTCTAAAATATATCGGGCCAAATGCACAATATTTTTTTTTCAAATACAAACATTTTTAAGATCTACAGATTTACTGGGCCAGGGTCGAGCATTGCGTGACCAGACATCACTAGTATATATATATATATATATATATATATATATATATATAGAGAGAGAGAGAGAGAGAGAGAGATTCATACGGAATACAAGATTCCAAAAATAAAAATAAAAAAATAGTGATAGGTACAAGAAAAAAGTGACAAGGAAAATTGACAAGTAATAATGTGTCAACATCTAAATTATGCCCTAACCTTAAATGTATAAACTATGTTTGAAAATTTTTAACAATTGATAGATGAGATCATTTCCTTGTATCCTTGTCATATTTTCCTTTACCTATCATTATTAAAAAAAAAAGAATAAAAAAAAGGTGGCAACTCCTTCCCTTCATTTAATTAGACTTTGTTTCTTTTAGTACGTGGCCTAATTTTTAGAAAAACACTACTCTCAGTAAAATTACACTTACAAATTGCAAGTTGCAAGTTGTAAGTGTTGTAACACATATATACTATTGAGAATTGAATTAATTTTTGCAGTTTAAAAATTACTCACTTGCAGTTCGTTTTTTACAATTTTATCGCTGAACTATTTTCTTTCTCCTTCCTTCTTCTCCTTCCCCATCTCTTCTTCTTCTTTCTCTTTTATTCTTTCTTTTTCTCCTTCCTCCTCTCTTCTTCTTCTTCGAATCTAAATCTACTAATAATTGGACACCAAAAAAAGACGAAACGCAGCAAGGAACACGGGAAAACTCACCATCGTTGCCGGTAAATTTTTTTTTTCAAATTCTATGCAAAAAAAAAAAAAATTAAAAAGTCCGATCCCTAACCAGGTCAATCCACATCTCTTGGCCGGTGAGAAATCCGACCAAGGTTCCCGGGCTGGCCACCGTTCGGGTCGGCCAGTCTGGGCACTCCCTTTTTTAAAAATATTGTTGTAATTTTTTTATAATTATTTTGTTTAAATTATTTATAATTAATGTAATTATTTGTTGAATGTTGTGTTATTAGTTATAATTAATTTAATTAGATTTTTATTAATTTATAATAAAAGAGAGAAATTTAATTAGTTTTGTAATTAATTTAATTAGATTTTTAATTAATTTAATTATATTTCCATTAAAAATGTATAAATTTAATATGTATAATTAATTTAATTGAGTTTATTTTAATTTATATTTGAATCTTTATTTTAGTAGAATAGGTATATATAATATATAATGTAGGTTAAATAGACAAATTAATTAGGTATAATTAATTTAATTAATTTTATTTTAATGTCTATTTGAATAATTATCGTAATAGAATATTTATATATAATATTTAATTTAGGTTAAAAGGATAAATTAATTAGATATAATTTATTTAATAAATTTATTTTAATTTCTATTTTGATTATTGGAGTGTAGTAGTTATATATATTCATTAATGTAGGTTCAAAGGAGAAAAAAGAAAAGGCCAAATG